TATGGAAAGTTAAAATCCCCAACTTTAACCGCCCAATTATTCTTGCAGATAACTGAGATCTCCTTACAAATTTGTGTCTCAATTTCCCGCTGACTGTTGTAGGGTCTATAGTACAATCCCAACAAGGTGATCATCTCTTTCTTGTTTCTCAGTTCCACCCAAATAACTTCCCTGGATGTATTCCCAGGAATATCCTCCCAAAGTACAGCTGTAATGTTATCGCTAATCAAAAATGCCACTCCCCCTTCTCTCTTGCTTCCCCCTTTCTACCTTTCCTATAGCATTTATACCCTGAAACATTAAGCTGCCAGTCCTGTCCATCCCCGAGCCATATCCCTGTGATTGCTATTATATCCCAGACCCATGTTCTCGACCATGTCCTGAGTTCATCTGCCTTACCTGTTAGGCCTCTTGCATTGAAATTAGTGCAGTTTAATTTATCGGTCCTATTTCATTCTCTGCTTTGTTCCTGCCTGTCCTGACTGTTTGTCTTGTTTCTTTTCCCAACTGTACCAGTTTCAGACTGATCTCTTTCCTGACCATCTCCCTGGGTCCTACCCCCGCACCCTCCTCTCTTCCTTATTAGTTTAAATCCTTCTGAGGAGCTCTAGCAAATCTCCCCACCAGTGTATTAGTGCCCTTCCAATTCAGGTGCAACCTGTTCTTCTTATACAGGTCACTTCTACCCCAGAAGAGATTCCAATGATCTAAAAATGTGAATCCTTCTCCCCTGCACCACCTCCTCAGCCAAGCATTCATCTGCTCTATCCTTCTGTTCCTACCTTTTCTAGCTCATGGCTTCAGGAGTAGTCCAGATATTATGACCCTTAGGACCTCCTTTTTAAATTCCTGCCTAACTTCCCGTATTCTCTCTTCAGAATCTCATCCTTTTCTCTTCCTATGTCATTAGTTCCAATGTATTCTATGACCTCCTGCTGGTCTCTCGACTCTTTGAGAACATTCTTCTCCCTTTCCGAGACATCTTTGATCACGGCACCAGGGAGGCAACACACCATTCTGATATCTCACTGTTGTTTGCAGAAACATTAAGTGCTGAGAGAAGCGTGCAAGCTTCATTTCAGTCAGGCATCAGTTAAACATATTGAAAATGTTACTTGACGAATAGAAGGAAAATATTTGTCCTAGAAATACTGTGGTTCAACAATTAATACTTGTAGTTCTATTGTGCCCTTCATGTAAAGAGATTCAAAGGCAGATGACAGAAGGTTTGGTTAAGGAGGTAGGGTTTAAGGAGCAAAAGCAGAAATTGCTTGAGAAACTCGGGAGATCTGGCAGCATCTGTGGAGAGAAAACAGAGTTAATGTTTCAGATTTCTGACTCTTCTTCAGAACTAGGTTTTAAGTATCTTCTTTAACAAGGAAGATAAGTTAGAGAGGCAGAGAAGTTTAAAGAGGTATCATCACCAGTGGTATTGCAATTGTATTTGGGAAAGTTGAAGAGGGTAGATTAAGAGAAGTACAGATACCTCAAGACTGTGAGACTCGAGGAGGCCAAGGATGGATTTGAAAACAAATGTAAGAATTCAAATATTGAAGTGTTTCTTAACCAGGGATCAAAGTCAATTGTCAATCTCAGGGGTGCTGGATGAGCAAGATTTGGTGTGAATTAGGACAGGAACAGCAGAGTTTTGGATCACATTATATTTATGGAGATAGGATTTCAGCAGCTGATGAACTGAGATAGAAATGAAATAACTTGATGATACAGAGGTAGAAATAGGTATTTTAGTGATGTTATGGATATGTTATCAGAATGTAATCTCAGGGCTAAATATAATATCCAAGGTGCAAACAATCTGGTTTTGTCTCAAGTAGTTATTAGGCAAAAGGATCGTGTTAGTGATTAGGGAGCAAAATTTGTAGTGGAGAACAAAGCCAATGGTTTTTATCTATTTCCAATATTCACACTTGATGTTCATTCATCATTGTCTATCATGTTCTCACACGTTTCTGCTGCCATGACCTCCTTCTGCTTTCCAAGACTAATTCTTGCTTCCATTGCTCTGCGATTTCCTTTTACAACAATTTCTGCAGTTTCCATGCATTCTATTCTTAGACCCCAGTTCCTGTTTCTTGCAGGCTCAACACAAATCACACGACTTGACGAATTTACCCATGGTTATTATATTTGGTCAAATTGTTCAAGTTCACAAATGTACAAGCTTAGAGAATAATAAAGTAACTCAGATTCAGGAAGCAACAACATATTCTCGCAATAAAAGATGAAGACAGGTTGAAACTGGGGTGATAGTTTATTAGAACAGAGAGGCTAAACAATGAGGGCAGAGGCAGATGATTAGATAGTTTTCGTCTTAGTGATGAAGAAATCTATAACCTATTCACAAGTTGTAACAGGTGGAGATGACAAGGATTGGATCTTAAAAAAAAGAAAATAATATCGGGATTTCTTTTACATTCCAGGATAATCCTGGAAGGATGAACAGTTTTTACACACTAAAGCAGAACCCAGTTGTCCCAGATTGAGTGGTGAATGGTTAAACTGTTTTCTATCGCATCTATTCAAGCTAATATGCCATCAATGTAAGGAAGCAGAAGTGATGGCCATAACAAGGATAATAGCCAGGATGAGAGAGACTAATAGTTTTGATGATGACTAGAGCATTCAAAGTGGAGGTGAGGATGTGTTTGAGTAGAACAGCAGCTACAGAAATTAAATGATGAATTGAGGGCCAAAGCTTTGGTTGTTGGAATATTCAAAGTATGGTTATAAGTGAATTGAGACAGCTTTTTTTCCAAGGCAGACAGAGGATGTAGGGTTGGAAGCGGGAAGCAGAATATAGGTGGTAAATACAAGAAAGTAATCAAAAATAGTTTATTTAATGATAGTCTGGAATAGTGAGGTCACAGGAGATGGAAAAGTAATAGGTGGCTATCAATTTCAGTTGGAGGAAGAGAATTAAGGGAAGAAAGAAGGACAGGGAACTCAAAAAAAACACGATAAATTGAGATGGAGTCTTAATCACTGAGGATGTAAATTTGAATAAAAGCAAAATACTGCAGATGTTGGAAATCTGAAACAAACACGGAAAATGCTAGAGAAACTCAGCAGAGTTGACAGCATCTGTGGGGAGAGAAACAGGGTTAACATTTTGAGTCTAGTGTGAACCATACCAGATTCAAAATGTTAACTCTATTTTCTCTCTTCACAGATGCTGCCAGATGACTGAATTTCTTCAGCATTGTCTGTGTTTGTTGAGGATGAAATTTCACTCAGTGCACAAGCTGAGGGACAGAAATAATGAACAAATTTTAATGATAAAAATTACTTTGAACTTTGGCGGTTGGAAGAGAACAAAGATTTTAAGTGAGAAGCAAAAGGGGTGGTATGAGGTGAAATGTGCAAACAGGAGAAAATGCCAGGTGGAGACAAAGGTGTGATTTGTTGAAGAGCCACACTACTATTGTACCAAGCTTGGCAAAGCGAGGTAAGTTACAGCTAGATGAGAAGGCTTCAGTTGCTGGGGTATGTATCACCACCCCTCAGCTAGATTTCTGTTAAGATTATGTTGTTGTTGTATTCATGTGGTTGAGGCCAAAATTTTGAATGTCTTCAAGAAGCAATTAGAAATGATTCTCAGCTTAAAGGGATTAAACGATAAGGGGAGAATGCAGGAACTGGGTGCTGAGTTGGATGATCAGCCATGATCATAATGAATGACAGAGCATGCTCAAAGGGCTGAATGGCTTATTCCTTCTCCTATTTTCGAAGTTTATCGAATAAACTGCAGCTCAAACCCACAATGTTTGATCATCTGGACAAGATCAGCATAGAATCCTTACAGTGTGGAAACAGGCCCTTTGGCCCAACAAGTCCACACTGATCCTCAGAGCATCCCATCCAGACCCATTCCCATGTAACCCACCTAATCTACGCATCCCTGAATGCTGCGGGCAATTTAGCATGGCCAATCCATGTAGCCTGCACATCATTGGACTGTGGGAGGAAACCGGAGTACCCAGTGGAAACCCATGCAGACACGGGGAGAATGTGCAAACTCCACACAGACAGTCATTCAAGGGTGGAATTAAACCCAGGTCCCTGGCGCTGTGAGGCAGCAGTGCTAACCACTGAGCCATTGTGCCAACAAAAACTAACTTTGGTGATTATAATGAGTTGGTGTGACTTTCTGAATGTGTTCTCATTATTGCTGAACACAAATAAGTAAGAAAAGTCACTGAGCACTGCTTGCACTGGAAAATTTTTGGCGGCAAAACCAAAATTGAGCAGCTTCTGGCTTTCCAACTTCCTGCTGCTTTCAGCATTTTTCAGCTGGACTGCAACCAGGAATCTGGAGCCACTGTCAAAGAAAGGTGGAAATTTCTTTATTTATGCAAATACAGTTTAAATGACATTATTTTTCTGGTATCATTTCCAACTGTGCTTCCTGCTAGCTTCTGAAACTATTCATCAACCACAGCTAGTGGGAGCAGCTATTTCGAGTGATTTTTAAACTAATTCTGAGCTATTGCCAGGTAAAACTAGATGAAGTTTTTGAAGACATTTTACTGGCAGGCCTTTGAATGCTTAATATCTTAACAGCTATAATCAATTATGTAATTTCAGCTGTGGATTCTGCAGTCACATTTCCTGTGATGCTATGCTTTACTTCTCTCTGTTGTGAAAACTAAACCTTAATTGAAATTACTGGTACAAGCAATTGGGAAATGGGCACAACATTTGATTTTGCATCATTGTTTTGATGAGCTATCTATTCAGTGTGTATTTTGTATTGTTACCTCTGTAATCACGTGGGCTGATCACAAAAAGTATACAGATTGCATTTAGGATCTTACAGACAGCTGCCAACAATCACATCCTGCTAACTGTTCATCTTTTTATTGCATGCAAATGAAAATTGCACCCAAATAGCATGAACAAAATAAATAAATTTCACATAGATTAAATGATGTAGTGTATGTTGTGACTGTCCATTAAGATTAAGTGATTGTTTCTACTAGGAAATGCTAAAGTGCAGTAAAAACTCAGAAGGCACTGCAGAACTAGAGGAAGCACTGGAGACAATGATTAGTATAATTAAATCAGTGAATGACTCCATGCACCAAATTGCTATCACTGGGTTTGAGGTAAGAGCACGGGATGATACACAACCTATTCTGTTTCTACTGCTTGTGGTGGTTTTTATAAGATTTTCCCTTTAAACCTTTAACCTTTTGATGTCTATAGTATTTATTGGTGAAACTGAGAAATCTTTGTTAGTAAATGAGCAGTAATGCCGGAAACACCAAGTAGGTCTGGCAGCATTGATTACAGATAAACAATTTTTTTTCAATTCAGGGATCCACCATTGGAAATTAGAGTTCTGAAGGAAAGATCAGCTAGATTCACAGAATGCTGTTAGACCAACTGAATATGTCCAATGCTCTCTGTTTTAGAATTAATTATTAAAGGTTCTCTCCACATGCACTGCCAATCAGGAAAGAAATCAGTATTGAGCTGTCTGGCAAGAAGTTGACAAGATGTTGATTTTTACTTTAGTTTAATGCAGCAAAATAATGTGGAGGCTTTGTTGTACAGTTGTAGCATCCTTATCACAGGACCAGAAGCTCCATATTCAAGTCACATGCCATAACTTGTTGGCCACAGAAAGTGTGTGCTTGCAGCATGGCCTAAATGGTTGCTTATCAGCCTTCTGATATGGCTGATGCAGGTGCTAAGACTGAGACAGTCTGCTGGGCAGCCATCCAGCAAAAAGACAATGAGAAAAGAGAGATGACAATCAAAAATAGCCAGTCTCTGAAAATTGACTCACTGCACGATATGGCCCCACAATTACAGACCAGTCAGTTTAAAATCAGTAGGGAACTAACTTCCACAAACCATTATTGGGTTAGAGTTAATAGTCACATGGTAAAAAGAGATTGATTTGGAAAATCAGTATGGATTTGTTAATGGAACTTGCTGGAGTTTTTTGAGAAGATGACAGTGAGGGTTGCTGAGGGGATGGTTGGTGTGATGTACATGGATTTCCAAAAGGTATTTGATACAGTACCGCAGACTTGTGAGGAAAGTTACTGCTCATGGATAAGAGACAGGATCAACATGGATACTAAATTGTTTTAGGGATAGAAAACAGCAAATAATTGTTAATGGATATTTAGCGAGCTGGAAGTTTGAGGTAGAGTTTCCCACATGTTGGTACTGGGATCTTTGCTTTTTATCAATTATATATAATTTATATAAATTATTTAGCTATTGTTGGATAGGGGACATTTTCAAAGTTTGTGGATGATACAAAACTTGAGATTGGCTTACAGATAAAGGACATAGATTTGGGATAAAGAGGATATTTTCAGGATGGAAATCTGTAACTAGTGGGGTGCCATGGGGATCAGTCAGATCATAGCTGGAATGCCATGAACATTTTGTGTTTCCATGGCTAAGGCAAGATATACTGACATCGGAGGCAGTCCAGAGAAAGCTAACTTTGTTGATTTCAGGAATGGAAGGAATTTTTTATGAGGGGAGGTTGAGTAAGTTGGACTTATTCTTCCAAAATCCAATCAGTACATGATTTGACCATATTTAAACATTTAAGATTCTTAAAGGTAGATGATAGGTTAGATGTGGAGAGAAGAGACGTTGTTTCTACTTCTGGAAGAATCTAAGACCAGAGTCTCTGCGAAAAGGATCATCTAGTTAAGCCAGAAATGAGGAGGAATTTCTTCTCTCAGAGGGTAGTCAATCTGTGAAATTCTTTACTGCAGAAGGCTGTCAAGGCTGGGTCATTAAATTTATTCAGGGCTGAGATAGAGTTTTAATCAGTAACAGAATCAAGAGTTGTCAGGAAAAGGCAGAAAAGTGGTAGAATGTCAGATCAGCCATAATTTAATTGAAAGGCAGAACAGACTGAGTGGCCTACTCCTACATTTGCTCCTACATCTTATGGTTTCATGCGTTTGCTGACTGGTGATGTCCACATCCCATGGATGAATATATATTAGATATATAAAAGGATATCTTACATCCTTTTTCTGTGGTGCATTCATTTTGCTTTACCTTTGGAAATGCATTAATTTTACAGGGAAACCTAAATGATCTTGGGAAGTTATTGATGCAAGGCTCTTTCAATGTATGGACAGACCACAAAAAGGTTCACAGCAAGGTCAAAGACTTGGCACGCTTCAAACCAATGCAAAGGCACCTTTTCCTTTACACAAAATTGCTGCTGTTCTGCAAGAAACGAGAGGAAAATGCAGATGGACATGAAAAATCTCCCTCATACAGCTTTAAACATTCATTGAAGGTACATCAGCAATATAAACAAAAAAAATGTGGATTTGTCTAGCTACTTCCAAATCAGTTGCTCCTGTCACCCAATGAAGTTCATTTTGAACAGTGTCACTGATGGAAGTATTTCAGCAGTCACTTTGTACACAATAAGCTTCCACAAATATCAAAGAGATAATTATGAGATGATCCTTTTGAAAGAAGTTGATTCAGGGATACACATTGTCAAGGACATGAGAAAGAACTGCATGATATTCATTGAAACAGTGTCATGGAATCTTACATATCCACCTGAGATAGTAAATGGGACTCAGTTTATGTCTTATTCAAAAGACATTCTGGTGTTCTGTTACGGTCCTCTTTGGGACTGTTGGCAATAAAGACTTCAGACCACTCCCTATTTAACTGACAGAACTACAGCACAAAATTTTCATTTTAAATAGGAACAACCTTATTGCAGGTCATAAAATAATTACTCAAAGCATGTACTAATAAATGATTTTGTTAAGTCATAACTACTTAGGCCAGAACTTAATTGTACTTTTTACTCCACCTCCCGTCAACTAATTCCCTTATTCATTTATGCAATCTTGACAGTTCAGTCAAATCTGTCAGGACCAACCAAAAAATGTGCCACAGTCCCCTAGAATTCACTTCAGTTCAGTCCGGTATTCCTGCTATTTCTCGAGGTGCAAACTTTAATGACTCCTTTTGTTGGCTTTTGGTTAAATAACCCTACACGTTCCTTTACAGATCTCATTATTTTGGATTGTTGCTCGCGGAACTTCCTTCTCATTGCCTTCTAAGCTAGTTCTGCTGAGTGTTTTTGGCCATAAAGCTCTGTGAGGACCACTGTGGATTTATTTTTCTAGCTACAAATTAAGCAAACCTAGATGCTTTTCCCTCATGCATCCAAACTAAGATGGAGCCCCACATATCTTCCAAATGGTGAATGTTAAAGTAGGAATCTTAAGGGCAGGCCTGACTAACAATCAATTCCTACTACTAGTTGTCTCCATTCAATGAGATGCAATCTTTGTCAAATCAAGCTGCAACTGCCTTCTGTGAATAAACACCCTTCGATTCTACCACAAAGGTAACAATAGCTTATCCATTGTTCAAGAGTTTACACTTCTTTTTTCTGACTTGTTAAGATAAGCATTGTAATGTGTTTAAATTGTATTTATTTCAGGGCTAATACCAGTTTTTATACTTGATACTTCAATTCCTAAATCCCAAAATCTATATTGTAAAACATAAGAACTACAAACCATATTTTTGCAGCATTTCTCGTAGTTTAGCAATGAAGCAATAGGGGTGTTGGCTGTTTAGGAAAGTTTCATGTGCATGGAGGTGCAGTGGTTAGGCTGGTGGGGAAAGGCAGATATATGAGGGGTCAGACTGGCAAGAGAAGGTTTATGTCCAGGGCTGGGATGGACAGATTGGCAGCAGGGGTCGGGATCGGGGAGATGTTAAGAAGGGGAAGCGTGTCACGTTGTAGATGTTTCCAGGTCAGGCAAGTCTGGTCCGAGGATCATCGGGTTGGATTGGGGGATCTGCCCTGAATTTCTGTCAGTGATCAGGGGAAGACGTACTTGGAAGGGGGGGGCTGTGAAATCAGTGGTGGTTTGGAGTTTTAGTTTAATAGTTACCCAGGAGTTATCATAAGCTTTTAATCCTTTAATTTTTTCTCAGGTAACTATTAAGCTTAACTTAGTTGGAACATCTGAAGTTTATGACTTTACAGGCCTTTCGGGGATGATTCCATATGCAGGCAAATTGGCCTTTGAAATTTTCAATTTCCTAGAATTCTCATAAAATCTGTTAAGCCAGGGATTCCACGTGGTATCAATGTGCAACTCTAGTCTGCACTGCTTCAGTGACTATCCAGACATAGGACTCTCTGGGCCATTATCTGGTGTTTGAGCTATTTGACCATATGTCAGCACTCCACACATCAGAAGAGGGAGAATAACTTGTTCTGTTTTAACACTGTTCCTTGTTCCAGCCATTTTTCTAGTGGTCTCTTTGACCCTCTTTTGTCATAGGTCCATTGAGTGTTCAAAGAGTATGGTTATTTTTAGGAAATTCAGTCTAAATCACAGATCTGGATTCTCAAGTGAGCTCTACTTCTTCCACCTAGGAATCCATCATAACTGCTTTCACTGGCTATTGGCCAGTTGACAGATCTCAGGCTGGGCTGAGAAAATCTGAGCATGAAAAGTCCTGCCCACCCAACATTGTCCTTTCTGACAAAATGCAACCAGATTGTGTGGCAGAAATGCTGGGAAAATAGAGGCAGAGGCTAGATTCTGATGCTATCTAAGCCCTGATCTAATTTCCCAGGTCTTCATCTGGACTATCATTCGATTTATGATGGGTCAATGCACTGGTAATCTAGGATTGATGTTACTCTTCATTTTTTTCCAGCTCTGATAAAAATTCCTTTAAAGATGCAAGTAATTAAGAAGAATCCAGGAAATGGAGATATTTGCTCATTTGCATAGGTTTGAAACGAAAAACTGTGACAACAATGCTGTATGTGTAGAGCAATGCAGATTACATCAGACTTTTTTCCAACAATAATAGTCAATAGTTTATACCATTTCGATATCCTCCTTTTGCCTCACATTAGTACGAGAGTGCATCAGTGAGTGAGATCCCAAAGTGATTGCCAGGATAGCGACTTAAGGGTCATGTTTATAAAGAGAATGTAGAATCTTCTTTAGTGATGGATAGTCTCTACCCCAAACAAATCATCAAAATAGCTTCATTTTCTGCTGATAACATTCACAATTACTAAAAATATTATGCAGAAATATTATTTGAAAAGAATGCAAATTTTTTGTCTTACAAGAATGGCTTTGGTTACATTGACCAACTCTAACTAATAATGTGCACACTATTCTTTCAGATGAGTGCCGTTGGTATCACAGAAAATGTAAAGGGAGACATTAAGAAGTTTGAAATCTGGTACAATGGCAGAGAGGAAGTGTACATTATTCAGGTAAATGATATTGAAAACTGCACATTATAGTTTTATTACTTAGCATATAAAGTTTGTAATTGATTTTAACTCACAGAGTGTGTTGTGTGGGTGAAGGTTGAGGTAGAGGATAAATTAGTCAGCCCTCTAGAACTGAGGTCCAAAAGATGATCCAGAGCATTTTTAGGATAATGCCTCATGGTCTACTGATGGGACCTGATGGGAAGTAATAGCCGGCAGATAGTCAAAAACAGGATCTTGGGCATCAGGAGACCACCGTTGGGACCCAAGTGGATGAGCCCAAATACTCACATAAACGGTTAGGGAAAGATATGTGGGTAGAGTGAATGACGGTGTTGAGGCTAAAACTGAGGAAATGCACAAGGTTTATTTATGTGTTCAGAAGAACAGTCCTACTTGACCTAACATAGCATGAGACAATTTTTTTTTTTAAAAGTTCATTTAGTTGCCCTAATTCCTTTTGCCATAGATATAGTCTGGTGAAGCAGTCATTAATAGCTTCAACATGCAAGCCTTAGTTAAAATTGCAGTCATGTCCCAAAGATATCATTAAATCCTAATTTACGGATTGTTATACTTCAAGAGGGACCCCATTGCTTTCCAGTGGATATATCTCTAACATATTCAAAACAGAATGTTAAAATTTCGATAGAGCAATTGGTGAGGCAAGTCACTGCAACCATTTCAACTGCCCATCCCAATTTGATTGGAGATTTATGATATTAACCATGTAGGCAGTTGTGATGTCAGAGTTGGCACTGGAGTATCAAATGCAGTGTTTCATTGTCACATAATGGCATTAAATAGGTGTGTGAATTTTACCAAAAGTGGATCAAGATCTTCCTCGGTGGGGGAGGCCATAGGCAGTATCCCAGCATCAGCCTAGAGGACAAGTTTTGTTTTATTCAGAGAGGAGGCCAACTGCAGTGAAGGCAGCGTCACAGCCCAGTCATTACCTCAGAGGGGGTTCCCCTTCTTCACTATGATCTTTGTGATGCTTTAAATTATCTTTAACCTACCTTATACTGGCTGCAGAGCCCCACCTTCTTCAACAGTGGCTATTATTTTCACTGGTGTGGCTGAAGCCCCTGGTTTCATTAGTTGCCAGCTCTCTGACTTCCTCCTAGGTGAGAGGAGCAGGTCTCAAGTGTGGCCAGTTAACGCTATGGCTGCAGCGCAGCTGACAATGGCAGGAATGTGTTCCCTACAGACATTTTTGGGATGGGCATGAAACCCTACCATCAGGAAATAATGCCTCTTAGGTCTGATGCTCTCTCAGCTGATATTGAGTATTTTCAGCATTTTCTGTGTATTGCTCCAGTCTTGAGCTCCATGGTACTCCCATTCTAAAAGTTCACAAAGAACACAGTAGTGCCTCATTTCGTCTTAACTATTTACTGCCATTGTAGCTGGATGCTAGGAGCACATTTGTCAGCTAAAGTGAAGATGTCACTTTATATTAGTGAGAGCTTTTTTTCGAAGTTCTTTCCTGGGATGAAGGTGTTATCTTCTGAAAAAAAGAGGTTGAATTGGTTTTTGCCTGCATCCTTTGGAGGTTAAAAGATTTAGAAATGGTCTTATTGAAATATACAAGGTCCTCAGAGGATTTGGCAAGATGAATGCTGAAAGAATGTTTCCCCTTGTGGGAGAGACTAGATCTAGAGGACAAAATATAAGAATAAAGAGAATTTAGATGGAGATGAGGAGAAATATTTTCTCTCAGTGTCACGAGCATGTGAAATTCTCTTCCGCAGAGAGCAGTGGAAGCAGGCTCCTTGATATTTTTAAGGGAGATTTAGATCGATTCTTAACTAACAAAGGAGTCTAAGCACATAGAGGATAAAAAGGAACATAAAGTTGAGACCACAATCGATAAGGCATGATCTTATCAAATGGTGGAACATGCTCAGAGGACTGAATGTCCTGCTTCTGCTCCTAATTTGTACGTTTGCATGATGTGGATGTTGCTGGCAAAGTCATTATTTGCTGCCCATCCCTAGCTTCTCTTAGTCTGAGTGACATGCATGGCCATTAAAGATGACATTAAAGAATCATCCATATTGCTGTGAATCTGCAGTCACATGTGGGCCAGACAGGTAAGAGCAACAGATTTCTTTCTCTTCAGGACTCTAGCATACCAGCTGCATTTTATGACAATTTCAGGACCCCAGTATGAAAATAACTTCTAACTACAGAATTTAAATTACACCAGCAGCAATTGTGGGATTTGAAACTATCCCCAGAGCATTAGTCTGGCCTTTGGATTACTAGTCCAGTGACATCACCAACATGCCACCATCTCCCTCTTATCTATTACTTAACAGTAAGTGTCCCCATTACTTTTGATGGAATTTCCTGAAAGTGGTTGGGGCTGATACAGGCAAGCAGGCAGACAAGTGCTTCACAAATGTTTTCTGCCCCAGCTGCTGGAGTTGCAACATGAAACTAAGTCAGTGTAGTGGAAAGAATTCCCCACTCTTTTTGAGCCATTTGTTATATTTGAATGTCGTAATTTTGTATCCAATTCGAAAATGAACACCTAATGAACACCTCATTACAGGCATCATCTGTAGAACTGAAGAACCTTTGGGTTTCTGAAATCCGGAAAGTACTGACAGGACAACTGCAAGCTTACAGAGGTAAATAAAATGCAGATATATAATTATGAATGGTAGGTCTTCTGGCATAGTGGTATTGTCCCTATTTCAGTGCCCCAACAGGTCCAGGCTTAAATCCACCTACCCCAAAGTTGTGTTATAATAACATGTCCAAACAGGCTGATTATAAACCTGTAAATAAAAATGGACTGTCTGTGCTTGCTTTATAACACCAAACTCCATCCAGCTTATTTTCAGGGTGTCAAATCAATACCTGCATGAACTGCTTTGATTGGGGCCCTATTCCACTTATCCATGACCATCGGGCAAAAGGAATCTTGCCAACTACAAGTTTTGTTTGAGGCTTGTTGGTGTTACAGACTTACTGTTTTGTTGCATAGTCAGAGTTTAAATAAATTAACAATCAATATACTTGGATTTGATGCCTCATATATATTCAAGGATAAATTCCTCTGCTTCTGCAACTGATGCAATCAGATCCATGGACACTCTGACACAGGGGAAATCAAAGAAAAGCACATTTGTGACAAAGTCCACTCAATTCTAACAACGACTAATTTAACTGGACAGAAAATCAGATGCCTTTACAGGTGTTGCTTGCTGCCTGATTTTCCTATACTCACTGTGTCCAAGCAATGTGTAAGTGTCATATGCAGGAACAGGAGAAGCTACCCAAAAGTCCAAATATAAATAGCTTGAAAATTCTCAGAAGAATGACCTATTGGAACAAACTCTGTATAAAAATGTTTTTCTTTTTTATTTGTATGCAAGAAGCAAGTCAGTTAAATCAGAGGATACAGGAACATGTTTACCAGGCTCCACTGAACACACCGAACAGGTAATATGTTATCTGGTCATTTTGGGTAATTAGTAATTGTAGTGTTTTACTTGACTGCATTGTGATAGATTCCCAAGCTTGATCATTTCTGATCACGGGTATTAATTACTAGAGTTTAGACACAGTTGCTATGTAGAATTCACTGTATTGAAATGGTGTACTTATTTTCATTACCTCTAATATTTAAAAATGTAAATTATCCAACCAGTGCTGTTAATTTATCATTTGAAGAGTACGTCCTCAGAAAACCTTCTTTCAACCCTTTTCCTTTCAAAAAAGCCTAAATCTATATGAAACATCTGCTTTTTAATTTGAAAACTGAAAGAACTGTGGATGCTGTAAATCAGGAACAAAAACAAAGTTGCTGGAAAAGTTCAGCAGATCTGGCAGCGTCTGTGAAGAAAAAATCAGAGTTAACGTTTCGGGTCCGGTGACCCTTCCTCAATTTGCTTGAACAAATTAATGTTTAATGGACAGGGCAGTGAAGAAGGCTTTTGGCACACTGGCCTTCATTAGTCAGGGCACTGAGTATAGAAGTTGGGAAGTTATGTTGCAGTTGTACAGGACATTGGTGAGGCCGCACTTGGAGTATTATGTTCAGTTTTAGTCACCTTGCTATAGGAAGGATGTTATTAAACTGGAAAGAGTGCAGAAGAAATTTACAAGGATGTTGCCAGGACTCAAGGGACTGAGTTATAGGGATAGGTTGGACAAGTTAGGACTTCTGCTCTTTAGAGCGTAGGAAATTGAGGGGCAATCTTATAGAAGTGTATAAGATTATAAGAGGCATGGATAGGGTGAACGCTCGGTTCGCACTAAACAACTGCACCTCCCAGTCGCGAACCATTTCAACTCCCCCTCCCGTTCCTCAGACGACATGTCCATCCTGGGCCTCCTGCAGTGCCACAACGATGCCACCCGAAGGTTGCAGGAACAGCAACTCATATTCCGCTTGGGAACCCTGCAGCCCAATGGTATCAATGTGGATTTCACAAGCTTCAAAATCTCCCCTCCCCCTACTGCATCTCAAAACCAGTCCAGCTCGTCCCCGCCTCCCTAACCTGTTCTTCCTCCCACCTATCCCCTCCTCCTACCTCAAGTCGCACCCCCATCTCCTCCCTACTAACCTCATTCCGCCCCCTTGACCTATCCGTCCTCCCTGGACTGACCTATCCCCTCCCTAACTCCCCACCTACACTCACCTTTACTGGCTCCATCCCCGCCTCTTCGACCTGTTTGTTTCCTCTCCACCTATCCATCTTCTATCCGCCTCCCACTCTCTCCCTATTTATTTCAGAACCCCCTTCCCCTCCCCCTTTTCTGATGAAGGGTCTAGGCCCGAAACGTCAGCCTTTCTGCTCCTATGATGCTGCTTGGCCTGCTGTGTTCATCCAGCTCTGCACCTTGTTGTCTCGGATTCTCCAGCATCTGCAGTTCCTACTATCTCTGATGAAATTTGAAATATGTCGGATTTCTCTTCCTATCACATTTCCAGCTGTTATAATCAGGTCAACAAATGATTTTCTCAATTTGTTATCTTTCCAGAAAGGATATCCCAAATCGTTAAGCTCCCAGGTGAAGAGGGATGAGTTGGCTCCCCTTCTTCATGAACCCACCCCTTCAGTTGGTTGCAACAAGTTTAATTTATAAAGGATCCTTTCCCTTGTAGGTTCCTTTTTTCTAGACTAAATGAAGTTACATTTTAAAGGGCACCAAGTTAACCAGGCTTTCTTATGTTAACAAAAGAATGCATATGTTGATCACTAATTGCAAAAAGAAATCATTACAAATGCACACACACACACAGATTAGGAATAAGAAACAAGTTCAAAGAAAAAATAAAAGTTGAAAAATGATATACAAATTACCCTCTGAGTTATTCCTGAAGAATCAATTGTAGAATATTTTAGATGTTCCATTGGATGGGATTTGTAGCATTGACTTTGATGGTTGAGCAGTTGATTGCAAGATGCTTGGCTTTGCGAATTGTTTAAAACACACTAGTTTGTCAGTCTAGTAATACACATGTCAGGGCTTGCAGTAGTTTTTTTTAAACTTTTTTTTGTATATATCCCTGGAAGGGTAAAACATAAATGTGTACAGGAGTTGGCTTCATGCTGAGAGAGGATGGAGGCATTCCATGGGCTCACAGAGACTCTGCCAGGCAGTCACTAAAGTGACGTCCACATTCATCTTTTGGCCGTAGCAGTTCTCTTTTAAAAGGTGCAAGTTGGAATTAAAAGTTCAATATGTCCATTAGCAAATCAGGGCTCTTACCTGTTATCAATTCACATCAAATATTAGAAATTACACTACGACCCAGTTCTGTCACCATCTTATTGCATGGCATCACTGGAATCAATAAGTACATTAAGCAGCAAGTTTGCCAAGTGGAGCATGTGATAGGAGAATGATTCTTCGATGGCCTTATGAAGGACAGTATTAAATGTATTTTGGAAAGGAGCTGCTCTTCCTGTTTTTTTATCCATTTCTAAGAAGTAAAATATCCAGTCAACATATTAAAAAAGAAACATTTTTAATGTGACTATCTAGAATGAGCAATATGTATTCTGAAGAACTTTCCAAAAGAGATTTTACAATATATAAAGATTTGATGATAACTATAATGAGCAAGCTCTATTATATGAAAGTACCAGAAGTGTTTCACAACGTAATAAACTACACAGTGAAAAGTTATGTGAAGATTTTGCAATCTTCACTACTATTATGATATACAAAGATACTAACTTAGATACATTAAAACCTAAAAATAATTGATACCAATGAAATTAATTAATAGCAGTCAATCTTCACAGCAAGAAGATTATAATGCAGAAAGTGATTAGTAAGACTGCAGTTCACTCATGAAATTCATAAAAAGTCAGAAAGAGAAAAGTCAGGTGGAAGGCTATAGATGAGCAGCACTCTGTTAATGAGTACTTCTTCCAGTTCACCAGGGTCAGCATTTTACATACCAGGATGATATGACAAGATTTGGCATGACAATCAGTCAAGATCACGAATTAAACCTTAATTTTTTTTCCCACAGATATACAAGGAAATCATCTTTACAACAAGACAACAAATGCGATTCATCAAGTTCTGAAACTGTCGAAAGGCAAAATGAGATCTCCAGCTCCAATAAACAAAAGAGAGGTAACTGTATTCATATTTGTTTTATTCTGCTGACTTTATTCCAGCAATAAAAGTACTAACAATGTCTTATTTGAATGCACATAAATGTTGAACCAGTTTTCAACTCAAAACATGAAAGTTTATGCACATGCGGCTTATTGTAAGCATGCCCACAGCTTTTTGCAAAATAGAGATTTTCCCACAATGTTTTGAAGACACTTAGAAAAACAAAGCTGAATTCACCAGTGGCAGCACGGTTTCTTGAAGAGCAAGTCGTGCTTGACAAACCTTTGAGGATGTGACCAGCAAAGTAAACAATGGGGATCTAGTGGATATCGTATATCTAGTCTTCCAGAAGACATTTGACAAGGTGCCGCATAAAAGACTGATCCAGAAGATTAGATACCAGGGAGTTAAGGGTAGATAATTGGCTTGGACAGAGGATTGGCTGACTGATAGAAAGCAGAGGGTCAGAATAAATTGGTCCTTCTCTGGATGGTGAACTGTAACTAGTGGGGTGCTGCAGAGTTCAGTCTTTGGACTACAATTATTTACAATCTATATAAATGATCTGCAAGCAGGGATAGAGTGTAACATAGCAAAGTGGAACATAGCAAAGTTTGCGGATGATACTAAAATAGGTAGGAAAGCAGACAATGATGAGGAGATAAAGAGTTTACAGATGGAAATTGATAGGTTAGGAGAATGGACCAGAATCTGGCAGATGGAGTTTAATGTGGATAAGTGCGAGGTTGTCCATTTTGGCTGGAAAAACAAAAGAGCAAATTATTATTTAAATGGGAAGAAAATTCAAGGTGTATCAGTGCAGAGGGACCTGGGCATCTTTGTGCCTGAATTGCAGGAAGTAGATATGCAGGTGCAGCATATAATATGAAAGGTAAATGGATTCCTGGCATTCGTTGCAAAAGGATTGGATCATAAAAGTAAAGAAGTGTCATTACAATTGTATAAGGCATTGGTGAGACCATATCTGGAATACTGTGTACAGTTCTGGTCTCCTTACTTAAGGAAGGATGTGGTGTTACTGGAAGCAGTTCAGAGGAAGTTCACGAGGTTGATTTCAGGGATGAAAGGACTATCGTATGAGGAGTGGTTGACTTGGGCTTGTACTCGCTGGAGTTCAGAAGAATGAGGTGGCATCTGATTGAGGTATATAAAACGCTAAAGGGGATTGATAAGATGGACATGGGACAGATATTCCCCTTGGTGGGACAGTCTCAAACAAGAGGAAATAGATATACAGTGAGAGGAGGTAGGTTGAAAACTGAGATGAGGAGAAACTACTTCTCTCAGAGTGTTGTGAATCTGTGGAACTCACTGTCCCAGATTGCAGTGGAGCAGAATCAATCAACAGATTTAAGAAAGATGTAGATATGTTTCTGATGAAAAGTGGGATAAAGGGCTATGGGGAGCAGGCAGGAAAGTAAGGTTGAGACCAGGATAAGATCAGCCAGGATCATGTTAAATGGCGGATCAGGCTCAAAGGGCTGAATTGCCTACTCCCACTCCCAATTCCTATGTTTCTGTGTCGTTACATTTTATACGTACGCTATTGTGTTATATTGGTATGAGATTTAGGAATAATGAAACATATCTATAGATTCAGGGAGTCTTTAAATGAAACTGGTGCTTATTGCCTGCTCTGCTCCATTATCATCCCCTTGCTATCCACTTGGCTCTGAGAATATTTTATGAGTGTAGCTAAAGCAAAGTAAAAATGTATTCCCATTATAATGTTGACAACTGTTGAGACAACAGTGTGGAGCTGGAGGAACACAGCAGGATAGGCAGCATCAGAGGAGCAGGAAAGTTGACATTTTAGGTCAGGATCCTTCTTCAGAAAAACTGTTGTCCATTTTTGTCTCTAACTGCTTCATCTTTTGTGAAATACGGTTCATTTTGCATGCTAAAATCAGCATTTAAAAGCCAGTTGCTGCAAGGCTTGGATGTAGAAGAAACTTTCATTTACCCTTTTCGAAAGGATGTCATAAGTGTAATATCTTCATTCACCTCAGTATTAGTTTTTTCTCTGTAAAATACTGGGACCAAGTAAACAATGAAGATTTTGAACGTGGCAAATAATAGTTGCTAAGACTGCTTAATTCACTTCAACTTTGCTTTTTCCACCAATCAAGTAATGAATAATTAACCTTATGGGTCTAGACTTGATTCTGAGGTACAGAATTTTGAACCTTTCTCAATCCAAACAAAACACATTACTCTTAATCCTTCATTTCTGGATCACAGCCAGGTTTTAATACATTCTGCATTAATAATGCATTATTTTTGTCGATACAATCAGTTACGTCTTTAATAAAACCTGATGTCCGGGAAATACTTCAGAGCTGATGTCACCCCATTGGTTTTGCTTTTACATAAACAAGCATTGTACTTCCAGTGAAATAACCTTGGAAGAGCACAAGCAGCTAAGAATTTACCAGTCCCTTAAACATTCTCATACTGAGCTGCTTTTAACAATGTCATGCCAGCTGTTCTTGAGTACTTCATTTGTGTCTACTAATGTAATCACAAGCTATGGATGTTAAATGTTTGCTCATAAATGATGTTTGACTAACTTGTCTCTTCAATTACTTCTTCCATTCTTCTAATCCTTATTAGAAAGATATTTTACAATGATGACCTGCAATGATTTCTAAGGAGCATTGAAGAATGTGGCCAGAGTCTTTGCTAACTCCAATGATAAAATTATAATTCTACGATAAAGTCATAGAATCCCTACAGTGTGGAAGAGGGCCATTCGGTCCATTGTGTCCATACTGACCCACCATCCCAGCCAGTCCCACTGCCCTACCCTGTCCCTTTAACCCAGCATTTCCCATGGCTAATCCAACAAGCCTGCACATCCATGGACACTATGGCCAATTTAGCATGGTCAATCCACCCAACCTGCACATCTTTGGACTGTGGGAGGAAACCAGAGTACCCTGAGGAAACCCACATAGACACGGGGAGAATGTACAATTTCCACACAGACAGTCACCTGAGGGTGGAATCAAACCCAGGTCCCTGGTGCTGTGAAACAGCAATGCTAATCACTGAGCCACCGTGCCACCCCAAACCTCCTTAATGCCCCTCAATCCTCAGCATATGCTATCAAGGGCCGACAATTTAGCTGCTCCGTGTTCTCTGATTTTTTTTTCATAATCAAATTCATTTCTACAAATATTTACAGTGATTGTACCTTATTTTGCTCTAACACGTGTACATTCTCACTTCCATAGTCACTTGTAAGTGCATCTTAACATTGATCAGTATTTTTAACTGGAAATCTTTCCTTGCACTCATTTTCTCCTTTAATCATTATGAATTATTTTGGTTTTAATTCTACAGCAATTGTCAAAACGTTTTTGATATCTATTCAATTGAATCAAAGTTTAACATGCTGAATGTTAAATTTTCACTGAGGTATTTCTCTCAATAGTGTGATGATTTCTGTAAGCAAGCTGTCAATCCAATTAACCTAAATGTGAATATGTATACCCATGACCTGATATTATTGTATTGCTAGAAATTGAAAAGATGCTTTTGACATTATAATAGATTTCTAAAGTACGCTTAGTCTTTGGAGAACATAGGTAAAAATATTTAGAACCATTTTACTTTCATCACTCGAGCAGTATTTATCACCTGAGCAGTAACCTGATGAGCTAAATTGCATACCCTTTATAAAACCTTTCTGATTTTTGTTCCTTAATTGGAATGGAACAACATCAGATGATTTCTATAAAGGAAGCTGCCAGGCCCGTTAAATGATGTGATCCAGACATAATATATTTCTATAAACAGATTTATTGAAAAGTAGGCTGTATTCAAAAATTACTTTATCAAAAATTCAGTGGAAATGCCTAACTTGCACTTCTTACACGTATGAAAATAACAATTAGATGACATCACAAGTTTGCTTAACAACATTTATACAATAACTTGTGTGATGCATCGGCCACCAATGCAAGGACTTTAACCCAGGGGAATAAAGAACTGACAACACTCAATCTGTGGTATAATTTTCATCCTGTCTCAGATTAAAAACGAGGATACGGAATATCAAACAATATGTCCAATGCTGCATCTTACCTTGATCAACACCTGATGGACTGTTTGCATGGATTTCTAGATTTTTAAGAAATAAATTAAGAAATATTGTTTGCTGAAAGACATTATGAAAGCATTAGGTAGAATAAATTATGAAATTGATTCTATCTAATGGTTTGACACGAGATGGTAGATGGCATCATCCATTTATTCTCAGCAAATTAATGTGTATAAAACAAAAATAATGCTGCGATTCAATATGATTAGCTATCAGTTTCTACTGAATTATAACTTACCTTGAATGTTTTAAGGTTATTATCTAGACTTATTTTTACAAATCCTGTCTGCATTCTATTTGGGCTTGCACATGGGATTGATTACTTAAGTAAAGCACCAGAGATCTGCTACCACACATGGAACCATATCCAAACAGTGGGAAGTATCTGGAGGAGGGGGGAGCAATATTTCTTTTTGCAATGACTTTTGATCTCAGTAAGGGCATTTTAATAAAACATTCCCATGTTCTTATGAAGACATTCTTGTTGGCATGCAAAAGCCTGAGAAGTCGCAATACTTGATTGATATGCAAAAATTGTGCTAGGAATTTTGATACTCAGTGTGGTTGGGGGAGGTGAGGAGTATGGGGATGGAGTGGAGTTGTATGTTTTGTGGCAAATAAAATGCGAAAACTCAACTTCAACTGGCCTCCACCCCACCCATTTTTAATTTTAGCTGAGATGGCTCAGGCTTTGCAAAATTAACCCACTTTAAGTAGGTGGGTTACTAAATATTGAAGTTGTATGCTTTCTGTTCAATTTTCCTGCCCCTCAGAATAGATTGAAGCAGTTGGAAGGAGAAAATAGCTGAATCCATCTCACAAATGCCTCTCCACATTGTTTATGGGGCAGGAGAATTGGAGTTTATTCCAGCTCACCAATCTTTCTTGT